CCATGCACTGCTAGGAAAACAAACAGGTTTGTCCTGGAGAGGGTGAAGCCGGGCTGCTCCTTGGAGGCAAGGATTCTGAAGCTTCGTCTGACATACTTTGGGCATGTTGCAAAATGGGACCGGTCTTTGGAGAGGGACATCATATTTGGGTGAGTGGAGGGACAGCGCAGGAGAGGAGGAGCCTGGATGAAATGGATCAATTCTGTGATTGGGGTAATAGGAGTTAGTGTGTCAGAGACGGTGAGGTTGGCACAGGATAGAGCAGGGTTAGGGCCCTTGTATGTAGGGTCGCTATGAGCTGAACAGAAGATTTCAAAGGGCAGCGTGGGATGACAAAGTAAAATATTACAACGAAATGTGCAAGGAGCTGGAGTCAGAATATCAAAAGGGTCGAACTCACTCAGCATTTCTTAAGCTCAAGGAACTGAAGAACAAATTCAAACCTTGAGTTGCTATAATCAAGGATGCTTTAGCCAGAATATTAAATGATCCAAGAAGTAGTAAAAGAAGATGGGAAGAATAGACTAAGTCATTGTATCGAAAGGAATTGGCAGACACAGAAGAATTTAATGAAACAACATATGAGCAAGAGCCCTATGGTGATAAAGGAGGAAGTTCGGGCTGCTTTGAAGGAAATAGAAAAAATAAGGCACCAGGATAGATGGTATACCAATTGACATATTTCAGTTAACAGATGCTGTCGTGGACGTGCTCACCAAGTTGTGCCAGGAAATCTGGAGAACAACCACTTGGCCAACTGACTGAAGAGATCTATATTTGTTCCCATCCCAAAGAAGGGTGACCCAACAGAGTGTGGAAACTATAGAACAATATGGATTTCAATATTGATTGAATATTCAATATTGATAACAATAATGCAAGCAAGATTCTACTGAAGATCATCCAAAAACGACTGGAACAGCACATTAGCAGAGAACTGCCAGAAGTCCAGGTTGGGTTTAGAAGGGGTTGTGGTTGGTACTAGGGACATTGTAGGTGATGTTAGATGGATTTTTGGCTTAAAGCAGGGAGTACCAGAGGAACGTCTGTGTTTCATTGATTATGCAAAGGCATTTGACTATGTGGATCACAACAAACTGTGGCTGACTCTGAGAAAAATGGGAATCCAAGAACAACTGATCATGCTAATGCAAAACCTATACTTGGACCAGGAGGCAGTAGTTAAAACAGAGCAAGGAAACACTGCATGGTTCAAAATTGGGAAGGGCATACACCAGGGATGTGGCCTATCTCCATACCTTTCCAACCTATATGCAAAACAGATTATCCAGGAGGCTGGGCTGTATGAGGAAAAGTGTGGCATCAGGATTGGTGGAAGATTCATCAACAATATGTGTTGTGCAGATGACAGAACCCTGCTTGCTGAAACTGAGGAGGACCTGAGGCACTTGCTGCAGAATATAAAAAAGACAAAGATTCTCACCACTGGGCCAACTGGCAGCAGCAGGATGGATGGTGAAGAGATGGAGATTGTTAACAGCTTTAGTTTGCTTGGCTCCACAGTCAACACTCTTGGCACCAGCAGCCAGGAAATGAAAAGATGTATTGTGATGGGAAAGTCTGCTTTTAGGGACCTCTCCAAAGTACTGAAGAGCAATGGTGTCACTCTGGAGACTAAGGTGTATCTGATACAGGCTATGGTCTTTGCAATCACTTGCTATGCATCAGAGAGCTAGACAATGAGTAGGAAGGATAGAAGGAGAATTGATGCTGGAGAAGAGTACTGAATGTACCATGGACTGCTAAGAAAACAAACAGGTTCATCCTTGAGAGGGTTAAACTGGGCTGCTCCTTAGAGGCAAGGATTCTGAAGCTTCGTCTGACATACTTTGGACATGTTTCAAGGAGCGACCAGTCCTCAGAGAAGGACGTCATGCTTGTGAGGGAGGAGGGACAGCGCAGGAGAGGAAGACCCTCTTTGAGGTGGATTGATTCAGTGACTGGAGTAATGGGGGTGGGTGTGATGGAGACAGTGAGATTGGACCAGGACACAGAGCAAGGTTTAGGGCTATTGTACATAGAGTCGCTGAGTCGCAGGCGATTCAACAGCACATAACAACAATAGTGCTCCCTTGCTGTGTTTGGACAACAACCCTTTTGTCTAGATATGTTTCATATAAGCATAATTAAGTGTACTGGGATTTCCATTCTTTTATATTATTAATCACAATTTGTTATGATCCATATAGTCAAAAGCCTTTGCATAGTCAATAAAGCTGAAATAGGTATTCTTCTGGTAATCTTTGCTTTCAGCCAGGATCCAACTGACATCAGCAATGATATATCCCTGGTGCCATGGCCTCTTCTAAACCTAGGCTGAACTTCTGGCAGTTCTGTGTCAATGTACTGTTCTATTAATCTTTGCATGATCTTCAATAATATTTTGCTTCCGTGTGATATTAATGATATTATCTGATAATTTCCACATTCTGTTGGATCACTTTTCTTGGCCATGGGGACAAATATGGTTCTCTTCAAATCAGTTGACCAAACAATAGGCTTATAATTTTGCCTAGCACATGATAACTATTGAACAATGTTTGCAACAGTTGATGATACTAACTCTCTTCTCTGTATGACTCTTTGGGGTAGGCATTATTACTGAGAGTGAGCAGCTGGAAAAAAATGGAAGCCAGAATCCATTTTTTCCATGGTATTGCACTGCAGTTAGCTTGAGCAAGTATTTAAAATATATATAATATCCAAACATATTTATGGAAATGTACAAAACCCCCCCTTAATATACCAAGAGATTGAATTCACTATAAAAGTTAGTAAAGAGCCAGTCTTAGGAATGAGACTGTAAACTGAAATATAATTCAAACAGTAACCTACTATTTACCATCATGACGGCCAACCATGCTAATAGAAATACACAGTTTTCATTTATGAAGGTATAAAACTACTTATATACTATCATACTAGTATGAGCTGCTAAACCAAAGGTGGCTGGCACCTCTCTGGTGATAATCATACTATCATACCAGTTTTGATGAGAGATACACAAGTAATGTCCTTAAAATGACTGAAAAGAATAACACTATTTATAATAAAACACTGTTCATATTCCTCTGTTTTTCTTCCTGTGTTCCCATCCTACTTGACAGTTCCACTATTAACCATTCAAGGCAGAAGCTCAAGACTCATTCTGTGTTGTCACCCCTCATGCTCAAGTGAGCAGAGATGTTGGAATCTCAAAGTCCTACGAACCAAACTATCTGTCTGTTCCATCTCCTTTACCTTGGATCCCAGAGGCTGGCCAATCTAACCCAACCACTAAGGCAGAGTCATGGTTCACCTTTGGTATGCAGAAAGTCAAGGGCTGCAGCAACATCCCGCACCACTCTGCTGGCTTCTCGCTCATTGAAGTGCTTCCGCTTCTGGATATGAGCCAGGATGGAGCCTGGGAAGCAGAAGGGACACAGAGGAAAGAATTTTTTGGATTTATTTAGCTAATTGTAACTTCCTAGATATTGAATCTTCCTAAGTTTGAGACTCCTGAAGCTAACGACATGGGCTTATTCAGCTCTAACCGGTGCTGTAAACACTTAGGTATTTGCCTGCACATGCTTACTCTTGAGCTTTGTTTGGTTTTGTATAATGAGGGGATGAGAGAGGAAAAGGAAGAACTGCTAAAGACATCTCATTTATTAAATAATTAAAAGGCCTCAACATGATAGGGTACATCCCTGGAAAACTGTCTCTAACAAGAAGCCCTAGCAGTATAAACTGTTAAGTATTTGACTGCTGACCAAAAGGTTGGCAATTCAAATCCACCTAGTGACTCTGAGGAGAGAGTCTGCTCTTTAATTACAACCAAAAAACCTCTAAGTATAATGCCTGGCATAGAGAAGGTACAGCACACGTCTACTGAACAAAACTGAACTCCTATCTCTTGCATCTATATATGATGTATGCAGAAAGGGGGAAAAACTACTATTTAAATGAGCAAAAACCATTCATGTCATTGGGGATAATCTGCCTTCTGAAGTCAAAAGGAATTAAACACGAATTGTAATGAGGGTGAATGGAGTTCTCTGCAGGAACCTTTTCTCCTCTGCATTTGTTCTGAGATCCAAATAGAATATAAGACTTTAAATGGACACCTTTACCAGAAATGTGAAAGTCTAGAAAAGGGAAAAGATCATTTTTTTTTCTCACTCACTGCATTTTTCTATTTATTGTTAATTATTAAATATTGCTAATATTTAAAAAGAAAGAAATTGCTAATATATTTTGAGTAGTTCCTATGTGCCACGTACTATTTAATACTTTCTACATAAATTATTTCTCCTTACAACAATTGTACAAATTGGATAGTACAGTTATCCTCATTTATAGGTGGGGAAATGGAAGACAAGGGTATTTAAGCACAGTCTGTACAGGATTCAAGACTTAGGCTGAGACTGTGCAGATGTCCCCGCTACAGAATCTGTGGTCGGGATGGTGTGAGGATGGGTTGCTCTGGGTCAACTACCTTCTTTTTACCCATCATATCTAGTCTCAGGGAGCTCTGTGGTGTAGTCTGTAGGGAGCTGAGCTGCTAATCCAAAGGTGGCGCCTCTCTGGTGATAGGAATCCAGCAGTGGTTCTATGGAAGAAATATGGGCAGTCTTTTTGTATGATGTACCATCTTTAAAAACCTACTGAAAGGTTAACTATGAGTTGGCTCTGACTTGATGGCAATGAATGAGTCTCAAGAGAGCTACAGATGATCCCTACTGCACCTAGCACTTCAAACACGTAATTCAGGAGCAGACACAGTCAGGAACATATGGTGTGGCTCCATGAGATTTATCCTTACTACTTGAAGTTAGTATTTCTAAGCTGAAGTGTCATCTCTATGTCCTAAAAAATGGCACTTGCTTACTTTCCAGCTTTGTTTGGTTTTGGTATAGTGAGGGGATGAAAGAGGAAAAGGAAGAACTGCTAAAGACTTACTAGATTAAACAACCAAAATACCTCAACATGGTAGGGTACATCCTTGGAAAACTGGCTCTTGGCTAGGCTGCAAGCTTGCCTATAGACACTGTATTAAGGCACAGTGGCCAATCTCCTGCAGTGTGATTTACTGCCTCTGAAAACTCGGTACTTCACAACACTAACAATGAGGTAGGTACTGTTATTACTCCTATTCTACAGATGAGAAAACTGGAAAGGTTATTTGGCCAAGGTCACACAGCTAATAAATGATGGAGCTGGATTAAACTAGCTTTATTAGTTCTAAAGAATATAACCTTAATCATGAAGACCCTCCATGTAGTCTTCTACTCAGCTCTAGACATTCCCTCACACCATTCCCCAATCTCTGCTTTGTAAATGTGTCCTGGGGTAAGGTGGAGAGACAAAAGAGTTCTTTAGACCCTCCTCTAAGTTAGAAGAATAATGTAAAAATATTTATCCCAGGATGTATGTGGGGTGATGAGAGGTGTAGCTGTAGTCAAGAGTAGAATCTTCCATTAGAAAGATGGCACATTCTTAGGCCTCTTCTCTATCCTGGGTATGTGTGTCCTAAACAATGGAATTCTCCCTTCCCTTCAGTGAGCCTTTCTATATTTCATAGTATGAAAAAGCTCCCAACGATAATTAATTTAGTTATATAGTGAACATGTCAAAGAGGGGACTGATAAACTGGTAACTAAATGTATCTATAGATGACTCCTTTATAAGGAAAAGGCATTTATAGAATGCCTACACAGGTGACATTCTAAGCTCGGCAAAATGCTAATTATCATCCTTCCCTCCGGCCTCCCTTCTCCCAAATCAAGGGCAGTTTTTAAGTCCTTCATCCTTTTTATTAGCTTGACTCGTTTTAGAAGTCTCTGGGATGCATGATGGATGATCAGCACCCTCAGTCCTAATCAGAAGTCTAAACACATACTCAACAGTAAGTACCTCCTTGCAATTTCTCAAAGACCAAGTAAAATCTCGTATCATCTTCAAAGAATTCAATCAGTTCCAAAATGTTCCTTTAATAGGGAAAAAGAAGCAGAGAGGGGAAAAGGCATTACATATTAACATCCATTTACAAATACACAACGATATAAACAATGACCTGTAGCAGAACAGAAATCAGCTTGAAAACAGAATGCTTAATAAAGACCTATGTTTGAGAATTAGCCAATGGTGTTAGCAAGATTCAGGTCACCTTATCTTTCCATAATGTTTAGTCTCTGGTGTTTTCATCAAGTCTGTGCTGTCAAACCCCAACCCTAAAACCCACTAGGTAGAGTTATAAAAAAGTCCCGGTCACATTAAACTGAATAAAATCTGCAGCCGACTGGAAGCAATTGCGGCTAATAACACTGAATAGTAGGTGTGTGTCCTGGAGGCAAGCAGCAAATAATTACTTGCCCTCCCTCTTGCCCATAAATCACGGGGCAGTATTTACATTGCCTGGAGAAAATGGAAACATCTGTCAAATAGACTTGGGGCCTAACGTGGGCACTGCTAGACCCTAACTGCTAAGCGCTGCTTAATGAAACGGCCACGTTCCTGGCCGCTGTAGCACTTGTGGCCTTCCCCGGTGAGCACTCTCTGTCTGCCTGAGTATTACAGTGCTCTGCCAACAAGGTCGTCTTGTAACTCAGTGGGGAAGCCACCAGCCTGGATACTGGAGGTGTTGGAGGCTTTTTTCTTTTAAAGAACGAAATAAACCAAGTAGAGTCTCTAATGCTCAACTAAGAAGCTGCAGGGCTGAAAATAAAAATCTGTCCCTCATAAAAAAATGCTGACCACTTTGGGAGACACCAAGCTTTTACTAGTGTGAAGGCGTCCAAATAAGATGGCCAAAATGGCCTAATTTGAAAGAAGACTATAGAGGCAGCGCCTGGAGTTAAATCAACAGCAGCCTCCGTCCTCCAAGCTTAATGACAAAGCCATCAATACCAGGCCACTGGCTCCCTGCTGACCTGGGCTATGGAGGGAGAGAGGAGGAGGACTCACAGTCTTAGAGGTGACCCTGATTTAAAGCCACAGTGGGAGAACCACTCATTTGGAGCTGGTGGTGAGTGGACTAAGACTGGGCTAGATATTACCTTGGCCCAGTTTATTAAGCAAAGAGTGTAAAAAACAAGGCTTCCTTAGATGCTTAGTGTGTGAAAATGCCAGGAGCGGAATGCAGCAGCAAATATATTCTTAACAGTTCTCATTACCTTCATCTATCTACTAGAACAGGTCTCCACCCTACCCAGGCAACACTTAGTCAGCCTAGTTACCACAGGCACTTGCAATAAACTCCATATCCCCGTCCCCCAAATAGTCACTCTTTGAATGATTCATCTCATTCACTCTTCTAACTTGCCCGAGTTGCTGTTATTCACCCTATTTCAGTCTAAACAGTCGATAGGCTTCTTTGCTGCTGTTTCTTTTTAACAGTAAATGATGGAAGGAGCAATACACAGTTGAGGGAGGAGTGATGGCTAACTGCTAGGTTCAGAAGATGGTAAGAAATAACTGTCATTTCTGTGGCCAAGCCATCCTCTCAGCAGAGCGGTTAGTAACCCAACAGTATACTCACTTGTTTCCTTGGCACTGATATAATGTCTCCACCTCTCGGAATACTCTACTCCGACTGTGCCCTGCTTGTTTTTCGATTATCTGTGAAAGAATGAAATCTGTCATGAACATGCATATGACCTTGAATCACCCCCTAAGCAGGGCTCCTCTGCAAGAATGCAAGACCAATCTCAGTCCAAATCCAGTTTCAAACAGAAGCCTGTAGTAGGCCTTAGTGACACAGACACCACAGCTCTGTCAACAAAGCAACAGACTGGCCTGAGGGCTTCCCAGCCAGCTGAGGCTGCTTGTCTTTGACCAAGCACATACCAAGGAAGCCTAGGAGGCTGCTGCCCCCAACTGTCTACAGGAGACAGAGGGAGGCAACAAACAAGGAGCTACCTGTACTTGGATCCTATTCCTGAAGGGCATGCCTTTCAACCTTAAGAGGAAGAATTTAAAATCTCTCCTGAAGGATCTTCTAGTGTTAGAGGAAGAGTAAGAGAGATGAAGTACATAGCTGGAGATGAACGAAAGCTTCAAGGCCAAACTCAAACTCATTTCCCTAATTCTCACAGGCAAAGGTAAGCTCTTCCTCTTTTCAGATGTTATTCTTAGGCACACACTGTACTAAGAACATTCAGGGCCAGACATTAAATGCACAATCTCAGTTAACCTCTACAACAAGAAGAGGATACACATTTTGCCCAAGCTCTGCTAAAGTGATATGACTGACTTTCTGGCTCAGAGCTGACACCAAAGACTTTGTTTTCCTTCAAAGAAAGGTGACCCAACAGAGTGTGGAAATTATTGAACAATGTAATTGATATCACATGCAAGCAAAATTCTGCTGAAGATTATCCAAAAACAACTGGAACAGCACATCAACAGAGAACTGCCAGAAGTATAGTCTGGGTTTGGAAGGGGCTGTAGAAGGGATTTTAGAAGGGACATTGTAGCTAATGTTAGATGGATCTTGGCTGAAAGCAGGGAGTACCAGAGGAATGCCTATCTGTGTTTCATTTGACTGTGTATATCACAACAAACTCTGGCTGATTCTGAGAAGAATGGGAATCCCAGAACACTTGGTCGTGCTAATGCAAACCCTATACTTGGACCAGGAGGCAGTAGTCAAAACAGAGCAAGGAAACACTGCATGGTTCAAAATTGGGTAGGGCATACACCAGGGATGTGGCCTATCTCCATATCTTTCCAACCTATATGCAAAACAGATTATCCAGGAGGCTGGGCTGTATGAGGAGAAGTGTGGCATCAGGATTTGTGGAAGATTCATCAACAATATGCATTATGCAGATGACACAACTCTGCTTGCGGAAACTGAGCACCTGCTGCAGAAGGTCAAGGACTGCAGCCCTCAATATAGACTAAGGCTCAATATAAAAAAGGCAAAGATTCTCACCACTGGGCCAATTGGCAGCAGCAGGATGGATGGTGAAGAGATGGAGATTGTTAACAGCTTTAGTTTGCTTGGCTCCACAGTCAACACTCTTGGCACCAGCAGCCAGGAAATGAAAAGATGTATTGTGATGGGAAAGTCTGCTTTTAGGGACCTCTCCAAAGTACTGAAGAGCAATGGTGTCACTCTGGAGACTAAAGTGTGCCTGATTCAGGCCATGGTCTTTGCAATCATTTGCTATGCATCAGAGAGCTGGACAATGACTAGGGAAGATTAAAGGAGAATTGATGCCTTTGAGGTGTGGTGCTGGAAAAGAGTATTGAATGTACAATGGATTGCTAAGAAAATGAACAGGTTCACCCTGGAGAGGGTTAAACCAGGCTGTTTGGACATGTTGCAAGGAGGGATCAGTCCTTGGAGAAGGACGTCATGTTTGGGAGAGTGGAGGGACAGCAAAGGTAAAGAAGACCCTTGATGAAATGGATTGATTCAGTGACTGGGGTAATTGGGGTAGGTGTGTTGGAGACAGTAAAATTGGCACAGGATAGAGCAGGGTTTAGGGCTGTTGTACATAAGGTTGCTATGAGTTGCAGGTGATTCATTGGCACATAAAAACAACAACACATATCAGCTTCTTTTAGTGCATCCGGAGGCTTTGTCTCTCCGATACTATTGTGGGCGGTCTTCCTCCTCTACCCTATATTTGGAGGTGTTTGGCAAATAATGATTGAAGGAATAAAGGAAGGAACCAACAGATGAGTAGATCTTTTGCACAGGGTGTGACTGACTCTGGAAAGATCCACAGACCCATCAAGAGCCCAAAATTCCTGTTAAGTAGAGCCTGGGAGCAAGTCTTCTGCAGAGCCTACCTCTGCCTTACAGCTTCCAAGTGCAAAGTGGGTGGCACAGTTGATTGATGCTGCTGCTTCGTTCAAACACTGCTGGGTGGTACATTTCAAAAGTACTCTGGGATTTTGCAACAGAAATCCATCCCCAATTGCCATTTTTAAAAAAAATTTAATTTTATTTTATTATTTTTTTGTGTGTGTACCGTCAAATCAGATCTGATTGGTACAAGAGGAGACTGCCCCTCCTTCTCCAGCAGCACATCTGGTGGATTTGAACAACATACCTCTGGGATTGCAGTTCAGCTTCTTGCCACTAGGCCACCAGAGCTCCCTCAATTGCCATTTTCTAAGTAAGTCCCTGACTGTTAGTAAACTGTTGTGAATTAATTTTCTGAACAGTTAGAAAAATGCAATGCTCAGAAACACATGGTATTCAATGCATTCATTTACAAAGCATTCCAGATGCAAATCAGAAAGAACTTATTAACATGTAAGCTAGCTGGCACTGGTGTAATTTCTCCAAGAAAGTTACATGTGCTGGTTATGGGAGATGTAGGAGGTGAACCTGGACAATTATATGAGGAAATTCAAGACCAGATTGTTTTAAAATTCAATTCGAACTCTGAGACTCTGGACTCATCAATTGGATGTCTTTGGGAAAGTCTTAATAAAAGAAAGTATTCTGAAAGCACAGTGTGAAAAATAGCCTATTTCTAGGGAGATTTCAACATGCAGTGGAGACAAGAGAAATAAGCAGAACTGCCAAACAAAAGAACTTCCAAGCAATGTTCAGTGTTTGCCCAGTGATGCGACGGAGCAACAGGAAGGACCAGGTCTTCCTGTTATGAACTAACCTTGAAGAGACAGGTCTGCCATTTATATATGTATTTAAACCCTTGAAAATAAATTTATGTTTGTAGGATTTTTCTTTCCCTTCACACTTAATCATTTTTTCCTTCAAAAAATTACCTGTAATACTTGATTAATACTGATCTGTCTCCAAAAATGGAATTGAAGAACTTCTATTACCATGTCAAGCAATAATATGCCAAGAGGAAAAAACCCCAGTTCACCAAAAGTGCTCATATAATCTACAACTGGAAAATGATTAAATGATGAAAAAAAATGCTTTTTTGTGGGCCAATTTGGCTAGACTTTTTTAGTGTGAAGCAGCCTTTACACTTAGTGGCTCAAGTAGATGGTTTTAAAAAAGTTTAAATTGTTCCCTTGGATTTAAGTAAGACTTCTACTTTACTGATTCTCAAACTTTGGTGGTTTGATCACAATCACTTGCAGCACCTGCTACAAATACAAAGATTCAAGCTGTCTCTTCTATTTTGAAATCTTGGTTTTGTGTGCTTTATTAGCTAGCTCTCCAGGTCATTCTGATAAATACTGATGTTCAAAACAGATTCACATCAGTTCTCAAACTTTAGTCCATTTCAGACCTGGCAAGGTCATTAAAACTCACTCTGTTGGGTCACATCTCTAGCTTCTAATTTAGTATGTCATGGGCAGGGCCATATAATTTGTGTTTCTAACCAGTTCCTGGGTGATGCTTTATGATCTAGGGAACATGCTTTGAGAGGCACTGCCCTAGATACACTCATCTTACATGTAAGGTAAGTAAATGGAAGCAAACAGGGGTTAACTGAGCTACTTACTCAAGGCCAGAGTCATAATTAAAGCCAAAATGTGGCGAGAACCCGCATCTCCTGCCCTAAGCTGAGTGCTCAGTTACTTTAGTCTTTATCACCATCACCACGATAATGTTCATCACTTGTATAGTGATTTTATAATTTGTAAAGTGTTTCTACCTCTATCAGTTCTATTTTTATTTTCTTCATAGCAATAACCACTCTTGAGACAGGAGGGGCAGATACTGTTATCTTCATGTTAGACATGTAGGAACTGATGCTTATGGAGATTCAGTGACTTGCCTAAAGTTTCAGGGTAGTAGTTTTTCAAAACAGACTCAGGGTGACTGTTGTTAATCATGATTTTCAGCAATGGTCTAAAGGATTGGAAAATAAAATGTAACGGTATTCAAAACAATTATTTGTATACTAAAACGAATACAAAGAACAGGAATATGTACTTAAAAATATTTTCCCCCAAGAATCTATAAAGATTAAAAAGTAAAGAGTAAGTTATTGCTAACCAATAGCAACATTTAAACAATATTCTTTAGCTAAGGCTGACATTGTTTTTAAACTTTCAATTCAATCATACTGAATAGTTTAATTTTAAAAAAGCTTTTAAAAACAAAACAAAACCAACAAACTACAGGCTCAAATTGTCCTTGCTAGTAGTTGTTAACCAACCAGCTCCAAATCATGATGACCTTTTGCATAACAGAATGAAATGCTGCCCAGTCCTGTACTATCTTCATGGCCATTGGTATGTCTGAGTCCACTGTTGTGGCTATTCTGAATATAATTCCAAATCTAGTTGTCAACTAGCTAAAATGGATTTATTTATCAGAATAAGAAGCAGGAGCTTACTGAATCAGGCGCTGCTCTTAGCACTTTACATATATTAACTTATTTCCTTCTCATAACAATTCTAAGGAACTTGGTGCAGTGTGTGCTGTATGGGACTACTAAGTGAAAGGTCAAGGGTTCAAATCCACCAGCTTCTCTTCAAGAGGCAGATGGGTGGTACAATAAAGATTTACAGCCTCATCTCAGAAACATGATGGAGGGTCACTATGAGGCAGAACTGACGGGACTACAGTGGTTTGGGTTTTTTCCCATGGGAATTTTACATATGGTCTATTGTTATTCCCATTTCACAGATAAGGAAACAAAAGAGCAGAGAAATAAGGTAACTTGCCAAGATAACATAACTGAAATCAAGATTTGGATCCAGTTTATATAATTCTGAGTCCTTATGCTTCTTCAGCAACTATATTGTGGTTGAATTATCACTTGGTTTTGGACAACCTAGAAACAACTATTTGCAAAGTAAAGCCTAGCACCTGATGAGACACTCACTTTGACAGCATACTCTTTGCCATTCTGCAGGCTCACGGCACCTTGAACTTTGGCATAGGCTCCCTCTCCCAGCAACTCGGAGGTCAGCTTGTACACATCTAGAGGTGAAATGAATGAAAGGAATAACAAGATGAGTCACTCCTTTGCAAGCTAAGATGGAAATAAGAGCTCTGTCACTCAGCCCTTCAGGTCTGACAACATAAGCAGACTGAGCACATGATGACTCTGTAGCATTAAGTGAAAATGTGACTTATATCTTTGCTAACCTTCTCAAATCCATTTCCCAAAGGCCATGTAGAAGACATCCTATTTCTCATTTTAGAGATGAGATGCAAGAATTTCAATTCAGTATATACTTTCTGAGCACTTACTATATGCCAAAAAGTATGTTGACTCATTATGGTGTCAGAGTGGAGAACAAAATAGTTTTGTTATAAATTGGATCATGTGCCCTACAAAGATATGTTCAAGTCCTACCCCTGGATACCTGTGAATGGTATCTTTTTTGGAAATGGGGTCTTTTCAGATATAATTATTATGTGCTATCAGGTTGGCTCAGCATATTAAGAACAAAAACCTGCTTGGTCCAGCACTATTCTCACAACCTCTGCTATATTTAATCCCCCTGTTACAGTCACTGTGCCATCTCAATAAGGATCCTGCTTTCTTTTGCTGAACCTCTGCTCCTCCAAGCATGATGTCCATTTCCAAGGACTGGCCCCTCCTGATAAAACACCCAAAGTACGTAAGACAAAGTCACATTATATTTGCCTCTATGGAGCAACCTGGGTGCACTTTAACCAGAACAGATTTGTCTGCTCTTTGGCAGTCCAAGTTATATTTAACATTCTTCACCAAAGGCATTAATTATGTTTTGGTCTTCCTTATTTATTGACCAACTTTCACATGCATTTGAAGCAACTAAAATTACCATTTAATTGGCATGGGTCAGTAGCACCTTAGTCCTTAAAGTGACATCCTTTCTCATTGGCACATTAAAGTTCTTGGCAGCAGCTCTGCCCAATGTAATACATTGTTTGGTTTTCTGATTGCTGCCTTCCACAAGTGTTGACAGATATAATTAGTAGTGTTACAAAATTAAGCCATACTGGAACAGGAGAGGCCCTACCTAATCCAATACTACTAGTATCCTTAAGAGAAGAGACATTGAGGCATGCAGACATAGATGGAAAATGATCATGTGAAGAAAGATGCAGAGACTGAAGTTATTCTGCCACAAGTTGAGGAATGTCCAGAACTACAAGAAACTAGAAGACAGAAGGAGCTTCCTTTAGAGGGAACATGGTTTTACCAACTTTTAGTCTCCAAAACTGTCAGAATAAATTTCTGTTGTTTTCAGACACCCAGTTAGTAGTCCTTTTTTCATAGCAGCCCTAAGAAACTAATGTAAATCCCTACCTGCTAAAAACCACAGGCTAGTGAAGAAGGAAGATGAACACATAAGTGACTCCACAATAAACCAGGCAGTGATAAACACTATCACAGAGGGATAAGATACAGATAAAAAATAAAATGGGGGTGAGGAAATTATGAAGGGAAAGATTAAGTTTGCTCAAGGATTCCTGGAAATCCTCACAGAAAAGGTGTGATTTTGATGTTCGTCATTCGTTCAGTTATTCATTTACTGAATGTCATCTATGCATCAAGCTCTGTATTGGCCACTGGTGCTAAAAGTGGAATAAAATAAATGGCTTTCTTTTATTCCACATACATTGGAGATTTGTGAGATATTTTCGGAAGTCATAAGAGAAAGAAGAAGATGCAAACAGAACTCTCGAGGTTTACAGGGTACTGAGTCAGAGTGGTTCTGAGAAACACACTGGGTTGAAAGCACCATCTGGCTACCTGCCCAAGCTCACAAATAAGCACAAATTCTTTGAAGCACTTCCAAAGGAAGCCACACATTCCTTGTGGCCTCAGTGAGGTTGGTTCCTCCTCTCCTGGGCCCCATGCTTTAGTTTTTTCCTCTTAAGCAGCCTAGTATTTAAACCCACAGATTGAGCAGAATATTTTTTAACTCTGAAATCAGATTTTATCACTCTTAGTCATAAGAAACCCAGTAATCACACAAGCTATCATTGAAATACAGAAAATATTCTTTTGTGTTCATTGAAAAAGCAAGACCTGTTAATTTGAAAACTATTCTAAAAACTTGAGGACTTCCACTACATTCTGTTTAGCATCAAATCAAAAGCAAACAAACAAAAAACTCCACCAATCAACAAACAAAAAACCCACCCAAAAACAGCAACATAAAAAAATTAACCCAGTATTAGACACTTTCTTGGTTCTGTTTGTAAGAACAGATGGCACACTGTTGTTTGCAAGATTTTTAAATAACACATTTTTTCCCCACAATAAACACTTTAGCATTGACTTTTTGTATTTGTCAAGGCATACAGGTGGTTGGAAAGCCATGCTGCTGACTCATACAGGACTTGTTAGACCCACTCTAAAAAACAATTCACTAATGTGTTTGCAATGATGAAGAGAGCCCATGAGGGGAAGCTATTTCAAGTATCACAATGAAAAAAACTAAATAGATGAAAGGGAACATGTTACTCTTAGGAGTAGCTCCCGATTCTTTCAGTCCTGTGTAGAAGTACCCATTTCACTCCATTACCTGCCAGTGATAAAGGGACTAGCACTGAACCCCAGGGTTCCCAAAAACAGTGTTCAAAAAAAGGTCTGATGATCCAGCGTTATGGAGTCATCTTTAAGTGGCAACAAGTAGCTGCAATCTTTAGGGAGTCACATCTTAGCTTGTAGAAAATACAAATTTCATTTGCAGCTGTAGCCTTGTATGGTTTTCCCTTCCTCCTTCTGCATGGTGACTCAGCAGTCACCCGACAACAACTGAGGGGAAAGATCATATATGAAAAGAAGTGAAATGAATCAGATCCTCTCACTCCATGTAGAATTCTAATAGTTTGGTCTTTCTGCCCTTTATGAAGAGCCCAAGTCTTTGAAGGTAGGGCTGTGAATCATCTGAGAGTTTGCTCTCAATCTCTCCTGCCAATCTTGCCCTGAGTCATTCTTATGTATTAACCCTTTCACTCCTTTCTTTCATTGCATCACAGACAGAAGCATAAACTGCCTCTCAGATGATTTATCCTATGATCTAGACATATAGGGTATTAAGATGGTCTTCCTACTCTTGAAGAGTCATAGCCCAGATATAAGACAATTCTGTGACCAACCTTCAAATTTTCCTGGCAAGGAGTCAGTGGCCCGGGCCTTCCGCTTTTTCTTCTTTCTTTTGTCACTTTCTGTGATGGGAAGGGGCTCACTGCTGCCCATCTCTAGGAGAAAAAAGTAGATGTAAGGTGAACATTACTGTATTGATCAAGCTATAAGTTTACCCAGAAGAAGAAAAAAGAAAAAAAACCCAAACAAGAACCAGAGCTTTATACTGATGGCTTTTGAATATCTGTGAGGACTATTGATCTGTTTTAACCCAGGAGGCAAAACCATTATAGAATATCATTAAGTGTGGAAAGGAACTCAGACAGGTGGGCTAGATTAAAAGAAGATAGCAAAATTCTGCTTTAACCAAGCTCATTAGGACATAGATTTAGATTTGCCACCAGCTAAACTGTATTCTCCAAATGGAATAAATCCATAAGCAGAATCCACCTGTGACATTCTCCAGCCGCAGCACCAGAAAGGCAGGGCCCTGGGAGCTAAGCAAGGAGGGGTTCAGGTAGAGGTCCATGCAAATGAAATCATATGCTCAGTAATATATGCTGGATATGCACAGGGATACAAAAGGGCTTCAGTGGTGACTGTATCTTGAAATAACAATAAGGACTGAAATGGCCCCAAATGACACCATGTCCAAAAACACATACTTGAGTCCTACAGAGCCCATAGAATCCTCTCCCTCCCTCAGTGCCTTCATTTGAAAAGATGCAGGTTGAGCTCATCTGGAAGTTTGCACATGACAGGTCTAGACTAGGCTGCTGGATGAAGTTGCTTACTGCAAAAACATTATTATCCCTCAATGGTAAGCATCTGGCACCCCACCTTAAATGGTGGATGTAGGAGGTAGAAATTCAGACAGTGGATAGACTGGGCATGAAAGGGTACACATAGAAAGAATAAGCAGGAGACTGAGATGGGGAAAAAAAAAAGGAGGAGTAATGAGCCAGTGTCCAATCACAGGGCTGTTTCTAAGACACTCTGGTAAGGGCCTTCCCTTGTTAAAGATAAATTACTTATAGAACATGTCATGCCCCTGATCCAGAGTGGAGCCTTAATACTCTTTGCCTGCAGTTAGAAATAATAAGATTTCTCTGAAGTCTCTGGGTCTAAATCCCCACCAGAGTGATTAAACCTTTACATCCTTCTAAAATAGAGGCACTCGAGTGTTGATGGGGCATACAATGTGAGAGACTTTTCAACCAACCTTCAATAAACACAGGCTCTGGGTTGTTGGAATTTTTTTTCTTTTTCTGAGAGGTTTTAAAACAGAACTGGCTCTCTGTCCATTGAGGGGGAAAGTCCTCTCTTTTCAGAGGATCCTGACTGAACACGATCTGAGAAATAGCATGTCTGCTCAGGAAGATTGATAACATGATGTGCGTCTATACACTGTTCTCAGAAGCAAGTGCACAACAGCCATTAGTAGACAGCATCTAGAATGGCACTTCTCAACATCCAGAAGACATGGTTAAGCGGCCAAGTGTCTGACAGTTCAATATGAATGCATGCTTCCTTCCATTTTTGGGATCTGATGACAGCAGATTTTTCAATCAGATTTCAGAATAGAACTCAGATAAAAAAAAAAAGGATAAAAGAAATCCACAGAGGATCTCAAAATATTACGTCAACAGCTTCAAGAACAGGCTAGGGGCTGTAGTATCTAAAGAAATAAACCTAAACATCAGCCCTGAAATACACCCTTGCTAAGGTAATTTAAAATGAAAAAGACTGCCCAAATACTGAAAATAGTGTGAAATTCTATAAAAACAAAACATAGGGTCACTCATCTTTAGGACTCAGGGAGAGAGCATTGGCCTTTGGGGCAGCAGGTTACAAAGAAGGTGGCTCAAAACCCCTCCAGCAGAATTGCCCCTCCTGCCCTGTCCTTGTGTGCAGGTTGGTGTCAACCTTCATCCTCATCTATTTTTCCATCAGCACGGCAAGGTGAGTGCAGTGGACAGATTTCGGTTCACCTCTCTTTCTCCTTCCCCTGTCCACACTCTGATGGAGGGCCTAAGGACAAGCAAAATAGCCAAAAGGCAGGCAAGGCAGAGAAGCAGCAAGAGAGCTGGTGGCATTATAATTCACAGTGGATACACAGACATACTTATGACTCTAGCTGGAAAACCCTGTTAGCAGCAATTTATACTTGGTTTTTACCACAGTAGGGTTGGGGAGACTCTTTTGGAAGCAGCATACCTTTGGGCACTACTGCACACTCAAAATTAGATTTTATGGCTTCACACACACAAAGATAGAGTACCTGGTCTATTCTGCATGGATTTCAATGGAAGAGGGTACGCCAGAAGGGACAAATTGTTAAGGCTTTCCTTGGAAACAGAACTTGCTGAAGGAGAGTTGTTTTTGGAAACTAGGAAGAAAAAATGCAGGAAGACAGTGAAGTGAAAGAAACGTGGTTTGGCTTACCTATTTACAAACCCAGGGTAGGACTGGGGGAAATGTCGCAGTCTTACCAAGAGGTTGACAGCACCTCACCTGGAGCCTGTCCATATACACTCTTCTATCAGAGGGTCCACTTGCAGGTCATTTGGTGCCTTAATTGATTTACACATGCAAGCATTTGAGAAATGCTGCTTCTGGGTGCAAGGCCCCCACACTCAAACTGGCTCATCTGCTTTCCTGGGCTAAGAAATTATTTTCAGTCATCAAAATCCAGCTCAAAAGTCCACCTGAGACTCTTTGATGCTTCCTGATAACTCTAGATGACTTAAGGTTTATGCAAATACTTTGGAAATGAGTTATCAAACTCCAAAACTTACTGCAGTTGAATTAGAACCGATTCACAGCTAACCCTCCATTGGATTTCTAAGGCTCTATATTGTAGGAGGAGATTGCCTATCCTTCTCCAGAGGAATGCTGGTGGATTTGAACCAACAGAGAGGCACAGCCTTTGGGTTAGCAGCTTATGGACTAAGTTGCTAGTGCCTAGTCAGGCATTTGCAAATATATAGTAACACCACACAGAATTAAGGAGCTCTGTGGTTGGTTTAGTGCTAAGGAGATACCAGCTTCTCCATGGGAGAAATATGGGCAATCTCCTCTCATGTGCTTTACTGCCTCTGGAAACCTACTGGAGGGTCAGCTGTTAATTGGTTCTGACTTTAGAGTATACTACAACAACACAGAACTAGGGCTAATTCTTTGCTCCCAAGATCTACTAGAAACACCAAATTTATTCGGTCTGTGTTTTCTTAAATGCTCCTAAAGGCTAGATCTCTCCCACAAGTTGTGGCACAAAGTCAGATATAAAATACCAGAGAAATGAAAATTATTTAAAATTGAGCACATAATAGGTTTGTCCTGGAGGGGGCGGAAACCAGGCTGTTCCTTGGAGGGAAAGATTTTGAAGCACTGTCTGACATGCTTTGGGCATGTTGCAAGGAGGGACTGGTCCTTGGAGAGGGACATCATTCTTGGAGGAGTGGAGGGAGAGAGAGGAAGACCCTGGATGAGATGGATTGGCTCACATGACTAGGTTAATGGGTCAGGTGTGTCAGAGGCAACGAAGTTGGCTCAAGATAGAGCAGGGTTCAGAGCTATTGCACACAGAGTGACTATGAGTTGCAAGAGACTTGATGACATAGAACAACAACAACAACAACAACAACAGCAAGGGTTAGGTATAATTCATATTATACTAGCTGTTTTAAGTACCAAGTTTATATACGGAAAAAAAATGTGGGTATATCTTTGCCTGGCAGACAATAAAAGGAGCTTAAATTCAGTTCAACAAGTCCTTGACAAACTCCTTCAAATGTCAGAGAGGTTGTGAAGAGACTGGAACCATTATCAGCTGCTGTTGGGAGTGTACAATGGTCCAACCACTATGTAAGGTGGTTTGGCACTTTCTCAAAAAGTTGGAAATAGAAATACCATTTGACCCAGCAATGCCACTACTAGGAATATACCCTAAAGAAACCAGAACCGCCATTCAAACAGAGTATGCACACCCATGTTTATTGTTGCATTATTCACAATAACAAAAGAGATAGGAGCAACCCAAGTGTCTATCAACAAATGAATGGATAAACAAATCTATGGTATATTCAGATAACAGAATACTACACAGCACTAAAAACTATGAACTTATAAACATTACACAACATGGGTGACTCTGGAGGACATTAAGCTGAGAGAAAGAACTTAGTTACAAAAGGACAAATACTACATAGCACCACTGTTATAAGGCAGGACTGACATGGGGGGTTGGGAGGAGAATACGATAAGAGTGGACAGATGCATTAGAACAGCCTAAGGAAAAAAACTGTTAAAAGGAATATATGATTAGGCATTTTATGTATGACAACAGTCTAGAAGAAGAGGCACACTGAAAAGAGGACCATGGAAGGGAGAAGAGGGTGAGAGAAAGGTAATTATGCAACAATGAATGAATATTAAAATAAAAAAGAAAGACCACCCCATCACCATCCCGCGCCCCCACACTTTTGGCACACCCTGGTGGCCTCACCACAACCCTGCACCACCTGGCGGTGCTCCAGGGCCACTAAAGACTCCTTCACTCAACACAACAACAGCCGTGGACACTACGATTCTGAGTCAACACACAAAGGCACACTATGGAGACAGCCATCATCTGAAGCCACCAATCAAGCTGCTGTGGGATTGATCTGCCACGAGAAAGGCTGGTAGGATCCTAATTGGGTTTTCTTGGGCAAGGCCTATTGTCTGGGACAGTTCCCAAGGTTGAGCCCACTGGTGGGAATTTGGCTGAGCTCTCTCAGGGCATGCCAACTGCCCAGGAAAGAGCGGGCCAGTGATAATTTGGTGGAACTTTTGTGGACACTGCAGACCAGACAGAGGCGAGTGGGTTGGTGGAAATTTGACTTTGTCTTGTTGAGTCCCCTTGACCCAGGAGCCTTCCTGGGCAGGGGCCACGGTGCAAGGGTAACTGCGTGAGCACCACTGGATAGGGACCAGTGAATGAAAACCACTGGGTGGGAGACGGACAGCTGGAATTTGAATAGGGACCCCAGTTGTATGCATACCCAGACAACTGAGGCCTGAATGAGGTCCCCCAAGTGGTTGACCTGCCCTTGTGATTGCCGCAACCACGTGTATGCCCTTCCCTATTTGGCTCCACACCTGTGTCTACACATCTGGTTAATCAACCTGCCTTTAATCCAGAGCATCTTGACCCATCTTACCTACCAGAGGCTGCTCTCACAGGCTCTGAACTGACATTTCCCTGGAGTCAGATGTTCAGAGAAAAGCACAAGTGGGATAGCTACCCAACTGATCTCTAGAACATTATCTTCATCGAGAACACATCACTGTCTCGAAGAAAGCAAGCTGTCCCACACAATACACAAGCACAAAGCAAGATATCACCCCCAAAGGGTGACACAGTATCAATGGATTTCCTGAAGGCAGAAAGTCTGATGGAACTTTCTGACAAATAATTTAAAAGAACAATGATTGAATATTTTCAACGGATGAAAGACAAACTTGAAGAATTACAGGATACTACAAACAAAAAACAGGAGGAACTAAAAAAAAACAAAACCAACAGTCCAGAACAATGTAGAGAAAACAAAC